TTTCGTCCTTAAATCAAAATAGTCAAACTTCTGTACGTTAAATATTAGACACCACAATTTAATATTTGATTTCCTGATCAAAACATTCACATCACATTTGAAAAATCTCATTCGGTTACAAAGCGACAACAATCACGTAATTTTGTAGCGGCTTCAAATCATCGAGAAAGCGACCATGACAACATTGGACCCGGCGTCGGATCGTCTGGAACTTCGTTCACAGCCGGGGTGAGTGACTTTCTTGTAACATTATTGTATTTATTCGTAGAACTTCGGAATGATAACGATATTCAATATAAACTTGTATATCAGTCCGATACGGGTAGAGAGCCTCCTAAATGTCGATGTAATCTTTACGCGACCCTTAAAAAAAAAGTCTCGCAGGGTGAAAATCAGGGAAGAGAATATTATTCTTGTCATAAGGCCGGTAAAGGGAATTGTCATTTTTTTCAGTGGGCTGATGAATCATCTTCCCAAGGGAAATTCAATCAATCGGGATTTCGTCGCGCCTCGGAAAGTATTGGCGAAAACTCGGGAAATGGAAATACATGTTTTAATTGTGGGGAGGTAAGATCGTTTTAAACCGTTAAATGGTAGTGCTTGACTCCTGTACACATTTCCACGATTCCATTTTTTGTTTAGAGTGGTCATTTCTCGAACGCTTGTCGTAAACCAAAGAAAGCCAAATCCGGTAGTACGGATGTGACATGTTTCAAATGCCAGCGGGTCTGCATTTCTCTATATTTCATGTTCCAATTGACGAAAAGGTCTGTTAACCTTCAATTTTTTTCACGTTGCTAGCCTGGTCATCTGGCTCCACAATGTCCAAGTGGTAGCACGGTTCAGCGCGGTAAACGTGGCTCTGGAACCAGAGCTCGAGGAACCGGTCGTCGAGGAAAGAAAAACTAATGTCGATTCTTATTGGTGAATCATTATTTATCATGTCTTATTTATTCAACTACATAACTCGAATTATTACGTACACATCTAAAATTTTTGTGCATATAATCTGTTAGAAGAAAAATGCTTACTCTATAATCTCTTGAATAGGTGATAGAAAATGTAATGTTTGTCAACCGGTTACTTGAATGGTTATATATGTAATAAATAAATAGAATGTGTATCTTGAAAATTTTAATAGTCTAATGTACAAAATGAATTATCATTCTTGCATTTTACTAATGGAAAACACTGTTACAAAACCGATCACCACAATTGTACTCCATCCTTTCCAGACATTAAAACATTGACC